ACCCTCCACAGACAGACACAACCACCAGCCCCACACTTACTGCCCAGACCCTCCACAGACAGACACAAACACCAGCCCCACACTTACTGCCCAGACCCTCCACAGACAGACACAAACACCAGCCCTACACTTACTGCCCAGACCCTCCACAGACAGACACAAACACCAGCCCTACACTTACTGCCCAGACCCTCCACAGACAGACACAAACACCAGCCCTACACATACTACCCAGACCCTCCACAGACAGACACAAACACCAGCCCTACACTTACTGGCCAGACCCTCCACAGACAGACAGACACACCAGCCCTACACTTACTGGCCAGACCCTCCACAGACAGACAGACACACCAGCCCTACACTTACTGGCCAGACCCTCCACAGACAGACAGACACACCAGCCCTACACTTACTGGCCAGACCCTCCACAGACAGACAGACACACCAGCCCTACACTTACTGCCCAGACCCTCCACAGACAGACAGACACACCAGCCCTACACTTACTGCCCAGACCCTCCACAGACAGACAGACACACCAGCCCTACACTTACTGCCCAGACCCTCCACAGACAGACAGACACACCAGCCCTACACTTACTGCCCAGACCCTCCACAGACAGACAGACACACCAGCCCTACACTTACTGCCCAGACCCTCCACAGACAGACAGACACACCAGCCCTACACTTACTGCCCAGACCCTCCACAGACAGACAGACACACCAGCCCTACACTTACTGCCCAGACCCTCCACAGACAGACAGACACACCAGCCCTACACTTACTGCCCAGACCCTCCACAGACAGACAGACACACCAGCCCTACACTTACTGCCCAGACCCTCCACAGACAGACAGACACACCAGCCCTACACTTACTGCCCAGACCCTCCACAGACAGACAGACACAAACACCAGCCCTACACTTACTGCCCAGACCCTCCACAGACAGACACAAACACCAGCCCTACACTTACTGCCCAGACCCTCCACAGACAGACACAAACACCAGCCCTACACTTACTGCCCAGACCCTCCACAGACAGACACAAACACCAGCCCTACACTTACTGCCCAGACCCTCCACAGACAGACACAAACACCAGCCCTACACTTACTGCCCAGACCCTCCACAGACAGACACAAACACCAGCCCTACACTTACTGCCCAGACCCTCCACAGACAGACACAAACACCAGCCCTACACTTACTGCCCAGACCCTCCACAGACAGACACAAACACCAGCCCTACACTTACTGCCCAGACCCTCCACAGACAGACACAAACACCAGCCCTACACTTACTGGCCAGACCCTCCACAGACAGACACAAACACCAGCCCTACACTTACTGGCCAGACCCTCCACAGACAGACAGACACACCAGCCCTACACTTACTGGCCAGACCCTCCACAGACAGACAGACACACCAGCCCTACACTTACTGCCCAGACCCTCCACAGACAGACAGACACACCAGCCCTACACTTACTGCCCAGACCCTCCACAGACAGACAGACACACCAGCCCTACACTTACTGCCCAGACCCTCCACAGACAGACAGACACACCAGCCCTACACTTACTGCCCAGACCCTCCACAGACAGACAGACACACCAGCCCTACACTTACTGCCCAGACCCTCCACAGACGAACACAAACACCAGCCCTACACTTACTGCCCAGACCCTCCACAGACGAACACAAACACCAGCCCTACACTTACTACCCAGACCCTCCACAGACAGACACAAACACCAGCCCTACACTTACTACCCAGACCCTCCACAGACAGATACAAACACCAGCCCTACACTTACTACCCAAACCCTCCACAGACAGACACAAACACCAGCCCTACACTTACTACCCAGACCCTCCACAGACAGACACAAACACCAGCCCTACACTTACTTCCCCGACCCTCCACAGACAAACAGAAACACCAGCCCTACACTTACTTCCCCGACCCTCCACAGACAAACAGAAACACCAGCCCTACACTTACTTCCCCGACCCTCCACAGACAGACACAAACACCAGCCCTACACTTACTTCCCCGACCCTCCACAGACAGACAGACACACCAGCCCTACACTTACTACCCAGACCCTCCACAGACAAACAGACACACCAGCCCTACACTTACTACCCAGACCCTCCACAGACAAATAGACACACCAGCCCTACACTTACTACCCAGACCCTCCACAGACAAACAGACACACCAGCCCTACACTTACTACCCAGACCCTCCACAGACAAACAGAAACACCAGCCCTACACTTACTACCCAGACCCTCCACAGACAGACACAAACACCAGCCCTACACTTACTACCCAGACCCTCCACAGACAAACACAAACACCAGCCCGGTGGCACCCAGCTGCGGGGCCAGGGCACAGAGGATGGCAACGGCTAGACAGACAGGAGGCCAGGAAAACCAAGGCAGCCAGCACCAGTCCCACAAGAAGTGCTTGTCACCAGATGCCTGAGTTACATTAGAAATGTTTAGCTATGACCATAATGGCCACTCAAAATTTCTAAGTCCCTACTGATAACCACCAGCTAACACTGCAAGCTTAAAGCAGATCAATGTCAGGACAAGAAGAGTATACCAGATTTTCATAATTAGGATAAAACTGTTATCTCAAATGAGGACAGGAGAGCACTCAACTCAATGATTGCTATCTGGCCTCAACCACCTTGCTGGACATCTACATGGTCCTCACATGCCTCCCCTATACACCTGTCTATACTGTCTATACACCCATCTATACTGTCCTTATCAGACCTCCCCTATACACCTGTCTATACTGTCCTCATCAGACCTGCCCTATATACCTGTCTATACTGTCCTCATCAGACCTGCATTATACACCCGTCTATACTGACCTCATCAGACCTGCATTATACACCCGTCTATACTGTCCTCATCAGACCTCCCCTATACACCCGTCTATACTGTCCTCATCAGACCTCCCCTATACACCTGTCTGTCTATACTGTCCTCATCAGACCTCCCCTATACACCGTCTGTCTATACTGTCCTCATCAGACCTCCCCTATACACCTGTCTGTCTATACTGTCCTCATCAGACCTCCCCTATACACCTGTCTGTCTATACTGTCCTCATCAGACCTCCCCTATACACCGTCTGTCTATACTGTCCTCATCAGACCTCCCCTATACACCTGTCTGTCTATACTGTCCTCATCAGACCTCCCCTATACACCTGTCTATACTGACCTCATCAGACTTCCCCTGGACATCTGTCTATACTGACCTCATAAGACCTCCCCTATACACCTGTCTATACTGTCCTTATCAGACCTCCCCTATATACCTGTCTATACTGTCCTCATCAGACCTGCCCTATACACCTGTCTATACTGTCCTCATCAGACCTGCATTATACACCTGTCTATACTGTCCTCATCAGACCTCCCCTATACACCCGTCTATACTGTCCTCATCAGACCTCCCCTGGACACCTGTCTATACTGTCCTCATCAGACCTGCCCTGGACACCTGTCTATACTGTCCTCATCAGACCTGCATTATACACCTGTCTATACTGTCCTCATCAGACCTCCCCTATACACCCGTCTATACTGTCCTCATCAGACCTCCCCTGGACACCTGTCTATACTGTCCTCATCAGACCTGCCCTGGACACCTGTCTATACTGTCCTCATCAGACCTGCCCTGGACACCTATCTATACTGTCCTCATCAGACCTCCCCTGTACACCTGTCTATACTGTCCTCATCAGACCTCCCCTGTACACCTGTCTATACTGTCCTCATCGGACCTCCCCTATACACCTGTCTATACTGTCCTCATCAGACTTGCCCTGTACACCTGTCTATATTGTCCTCATCAGACCTGCATTATACACCTGTCTATACTGTCCTCATCAGACCTGCCCTATACACCTGTCTGTCTATACTGTCCTCATCAGACCTGCCCTATACACCTGTCTGTCTATACTGTCCTCATCAGACCTCCCCTATACACCTGTCTGTCTATACTGTCCTCATCAGACCTGCCCTATACACCTGTCTGTCTATACTGTCCTCATCAGACCTGCCCTGGGCATCCGTCTATACTGTCCTTATCAGACCTCCTGCACACTCATCTATAGGTTCTCATCAGACCTTGCCTGGGACCCTTACACAGTTCCCAGATGGTAAGAACTTATTGTATTGCCAGTGTAAGTATAAGCTTTCCTCAAAGGTCATCTCCCAAATCCCTAAAAATATGCCCTTCTATGCCAACCACTGAAGGTCAAGGTCTGCACCTCTTTGTATCATTTTGGAGCTTACATTAAGGAAGAATGACACTCTTCTGTGTCTTACTCCTGTATACTTTCCTGTGGGGTAGGGATTGAACCCAGGTTGCATTCATATGAGGGAAGTGTTCTACCACTGAGCCTCATCTCCAGTCCATTCCCTTCTCTCACTTTTTAAATGGAGCCTTGCTATGCCCAGGCTGGCCTCCAATTCCTGGGCTCAAGTGATCCTCTTGAGTGGAGGCACATCTTCACCATGCCCGGCTTGTTCACAGCTCTTTGTAAACATGTCCAGCTGTCTTCCACAGCCTGGCACATGGTCTGCATATTTTGAAGCGACTTAGAGAAAGTACTCTGGCAATGCTCTGCAGAAGAGGTTTAAATATATAAGCAGTTGCCATTCTGCATGTATGGTCTAAAAAGTCACATGGAGTCCTACCCATTATTAAGGTGGTTGTTCTGGTGGTGTTTCTCATGTTTGTGCAGTCCTTTGTGTAAATCTACTGCTTAGTAGACACATCACTGTATACTGTTGGGAAGAACTGCTAAATAAAATCCATCTCTGTCTCCTCCCACAGCATCGCAAAATCTAATTTGGGAAATCACGACGATATCAAGTAGGAAACAGAAACTTAAGACAAATGGCTTTGTCCTGCCTAGGAGTAAGGCAGGTGACAAGACCTCTTCGCCTTACCTTCAGCCGGGCCTCCACAGAGGCCTTCTTCCGGGCCTCCCTTCTGCGGTACTGCTCCACTTTGTCCAGCTGGTCTGGGCGCGGGAGCATCCCGGCGACCCTCTGGACTGCTGTAGCAACAGCCTCCCGGTCTGTCTCCTTCATGGCCAAACACGTAGGTAGAGTATCTGCATGCGTCATACCACAGGCATGCTAGGTGAGGGGGAAGATGCATTAGGAAGGTGGAAGTGCTGACACCAAACCTACCTTCTAAAAGCAAATGGGGCCCAAAGAGCATGTCTACATTGAATCCAGTACACCCGAGAGAAGGCTGAGCCCTAGGAACTCTGTCACAAACACCACTTTGGAACTCAAGTATAGAAACAGGCATCCACCAGCAAGACAGGAGCGCATGGGGGTCTACACATGGCCCCTCTATCGCCACGGTCTCCCCCGCATGAGGCCGACGGCCCTACGCTCTGGGCACAGCAGACCTCTGCGGCAGAGCTGGGTGGGCCCGAGGTGCGAGAGCTCACTCGCACACTCCGTCCTCCAGCAAGCCAGCAGGAGCCACTTGCTGCTCCTCGGCCCGCTCCCGTTCACCAGCCCGGGCCCCGGTGAGAGGTGTGAGGCCCGGGCCGGGGGCGGCGCGCGCCGGCCCCAGAGCCCGCCCCACGCCCCCTCCAGGCCTCGGAGCCGCCTCGTCCTCCCCGCGCCTTCGGAGGGAGCCTTTTCCTTTCCACACCACCCGCCCGAGTCCAAGATCCCCGTGGCAGCCGCGCCCCGCCGCCCGCGCCGGACCACCCCGCCGGCGGGAGCCGCCCTCCGGCCGCGCCGCGCCCGGGCCGCGGGAGCCCGACCCTCGGACCCCAGTCACCTCTCGGTCGGCCTCCGCAGCCGCCACCTCCGGAGGCCCGGCCGGAACCGGACGCGGTCGGACACTTCCGCTTCCGGCAGCGGGCCGGAAGGGTGGGGCCGGGTGGCCCTGGGCGGGTGCTCGCTCGGCCCGCCCGGCTCGGGAAGGTCAGGGAGACGTCGGGAAGATTGAGCGGCCGCGCTCGGGCACTGGGTCGCTGGCCACGCGGGCTTCGGGGCCACCGGAAGCCTGGTGCTGGGCTGGGGCCCTCGGACCAGGCCCTGGACCCCGGGCCGCTCCTCTCCTTTCTGCTTCCCTGCGTCCCGTAGGCCCCGCCCGTGCCCTGGTCTCCCCCTGGCCCCGCCCCTGCTAGGCCCCGCCCCGTCCCCTGGTCTCCCCCTGGCCCCGCCCCTGCTAGGCCCCGCCCCGTCCCCTGGTCTCCCCCTGGCCCCGCCCCTACTAGGCCCCGCCCCGTCCCCTGGTCTCCTCCCTGGCCCCGCCCCTGCTAGGCCACGCCCCGTCCCCTGGTCTCCCCCTGGCCCCGTCCCTGCTAGGCCCCGTCCCCTGGTCTCCCCCTGGCCCCGTCCCTGCTAGGCCCCGCCCCATCCCTGCTAGGCCCCGCCCCGTCCCTGCCCCTGGGCCCCGCCCCCTCGGCCGCCCCTCCGCAGTGCTCGACCGGGCCTGGCGGTCCGCGTGTCCCCGGCTCCCCGCGCTTCGTGCTTTGTGTTCAGGGTCGCACCCGTGGCTTGCAGCTATCACGTGTTTGCGTCTGCCGACGTCCCCTCACCCGGGAACCCCAAATCCTACTCCCACACGGCCGGGCGGCCGGGTCGGCTGAGGAAGGGGCGCGCGGGGCGGCCGCCGCCGCGGCCTGGCTAGGCCGGTCCTCCACAGCAGGTCAGCCTCCGGGCAGCTTCCAGTCGGACTGCGTGGGGCTCGGCCGCGGCTGGGAGTGAGCGGGCCGCGCGGGCGCCGGGGCCCCGCCCCTCCCGGGCTCACCGGGCGGGCCGGTGGGCGGGGCCGGACGAGCCCCAGGGTGCAGGGGGTCCTGTGGGCGGCCCCAGGGTGCAGGGCGTCCTGTGGGCGGCCCCAGGGTGCAGGGCGTCCTGTGGGCGGCCCCAGGGTGCAGGGCGGCCCCAGGGTGCAGGGCGTCCTGTGGGCGGGCCCCAGGGGTGCAGGGGGTCCTGTGGGCGGGGCGCTAGTCCGCGGCCTGCAGGTCAGTCGCGCCCCAGCCGTGGACAGGTCTAAACGGGGCGTGCCCCTGAGCCCGAAGGACGGGCGCTGAGGCCCGCATTCCTTACAACCATGGAAGAACAGTCCTTGGCACAAAAGGAGAAGCAAAACGACACAAGTTTATTGAAGAAAGTGAGCGGAGCCCCTGACAGGCGGGCCCCGGGGAGACGGGTGCGGTAACAGGGTGTCCCTAGGACAGAGCCCGGACACGCGCATGGCCCCTGACAGCTGCCCGACGGACAGCACCCAGGCCCTGAGTTCAAGCTTCGGCAACAACACACACAGCAAAAACGCTGTTGGACAGCCAGGGTCCTTATCGGTCCCCAGCCTCAACCAGGCTCCACCCAGCCTCCACAGCTCTCCTGGCGCTGGAGCCCTCTCACGGCTCCCACTTCTGGGTCTAGTCAGCCCGCTGCTCACATGCACAGCTTTCAAGGGCAGTGCCAATGTGAGGCCCGGGGCATGGACCGAGCCAGGCCACAGCCAGACAGCTCACAACCATGGCGAGGCGACTCCTCGGGCCTGCAGAACCTCTGAGCCAGGCCTTCACCTGCCCTCAGAGGCACAAATGGGTCACACACAATTCCAGTCGTAGCCAGGCCCAAAGCTAGGAAGGGAAAGACAACGGAGCAATAATCAAAGTCTGTGCTGCACTGTAGCCAACCGTGTAGAGAGGAAGCAAAGGCCCCTCGGCCAAGCCTTGGGTTTTCTATGCCCTGCTCTGAGCCAGCCTGTGGGAGCGTCTGCCTGCTGTCCTATGCAGACCTGGCATTCGCCAGGTGCACTAGTGTGCACCCAGAAAAACAGAACTGCTGCAGGATGACCAGGTACAGAACCTGGGTTTCTCACTTCAGTTGGAGTGACCTTCCCTCTTCTGCATGGAGACTAGTCCTCAGGTTCAGCAGTCAGCAGAGCAAACCCAGAAGGGTTTTATGCCCTCCCCCAAAAGAAGTAAACTCGGGATTGCACTGAGGGCACGGATGCAGCTAGGATCTGGGCTGGTTCTGGGAGCAGAAAGGTTGTGCTTAGCCCTGGCATGGACATTGTTAACTGTGCACATTACAGATGTCCACCAAGGAAACAGAATGGTCACAGTTCCCAGACAAGGATTCCAGGGAGGTAGAAGAGGAGAGGAGAGATCATATGTAATGAAAACTGAATAAGTAGAAATATGCCCAAGCTATCAATAATCAGAACAAAAATATGGACTAAAAATAATGTTTATAAAAAAACATGGAAAACATAAGGAAACAGACAGTTGGAGCAGTGTGCATTCCCTCCCTGCAGCGCTGGGGTGGAGATCCGACCAGGGAGGCCCGGGAAAGCGCCCGGGAGACACCATCAGACAGCTGCATTTGTCAAGAGCTGAAAGAGCAAAGCATCAGCCATAAAGACTTTAGATTGCTATGCTACAGTTTTAAACTTTTGTATGATCAAAAGAAAAATATCCTTAAGTGAAAAATCAGAAACAACACCTTGGAATATTTTCAACTGATCTCAGACTGCTACGTAGAATACCACACCAATCCCTAAGGGGAGACAAGCAGTGTAAGGAACTGGCTCTGGGTGAGGCGCGGAGCCTGGGTCCCGGCCCTCCCCACACCAGCTCCGCACAGCCCCCGCCGGTCTTGGTCCCCAGCACGTCCTGCTGCCTTGTCCTGAGTCACGCTGCCCACTCCTCCCTTCCTTTCCCTTCATCTCTAACCCTTTCTCGTCCCCTGCTTTCAAAACCCTACCACCCGTGGCCCTGGCTGCCCACTCCAGCTCTTTATTGTCGAGTGCCCTTCCCTTCCTGTGGCCGCGCCATGCTTGCTCTGGGTTCTGTCCCTGCCCTGTGCTGTACTCAGCACACACCAGTAAAGGAATGGATAAATGTGTGGAGTACTGTAAAACAAATACTGTTTTGTCCCCTCAGAAGTCCTAACCAGGCGTGGGAGCAGCTCCCTGGGAAGGAAAGGGTGGTGGGACAGAAAGTCCTTTGTGCACGGGCAGATACTGGGCCCATGGAGGACATTCTGCCCACAGAACAGGGTAGGTACTGAGGTGGATGTGTAGCTGGGGGGCTCAGCCCAGGCAAGGGTCAGCGCCGTGGCCAGCAGTGGGAGCTAGCCCGATTCCCGGGGAGTGGGGCCCCGCTTACAGCTATCCGTGACTGAGGCGTGCCTGACAGCATCCAATCTGCAAAGACTGAAAGGAAGGCCAGCCCCCAGTCTCAGGTCTCACCTGGGGCCTGGCAGTCAGCCACCCCTCCTGCACGCCCGTCTCCAAACCTGTGACAGTATGCAGAGCGCTGGGCTCCCTCCCAGCTCTGTCTGGGGTGTTCTGAGGGCACTGGAGTCAGGAGCCCAGCAGCCGGCAGCACCACCAAGGGGCCGCATTCCTTCTGGACCGCTGCCCGACTCAGTGGTGAAGCTTTAGCTTGGCACCTCTGAGGAGGTAGGGCAACTGCATTTGGAAAATCAAGTACAGGAAAGACGTGAAACTCTGAGAAATGCACCGCGTGCATTCGTTTAAAAGTTCACCAGGACAGCCTAGCTACTGGAAACTTCCTTCTTCCAGTAGAAACTGAAAAATATATAAAGTATTGTCTGTGTCAACTCCTCTCAGCCCATCCCACGTGATAGCACTCTACCATTTTTCATTTTCCAAAGGGTTCATACCACAAGCAAGTACAGTTAGTGCTGACAACAAGACCCTGAGAAGTGACCACAGCACACACTTCAAGTCCCACTGCCGCTTTGTACAGCATCCTCAGAGGGCGCCTGCCGCTTTGTACACACACTCTCAGAGGGTGTATGTCATTGAGCAACAAAACGGAAAAATTGGGAAGATTTTTGCTGCCTTTAGTGCAGGACCACTGCCGGCGTGCACGTCCACGCAAGCCGCGCTGCCGGCGTGCATGTCCACGCAAGCCTGCAGGTGTGGAATTAAGGGTTTGCAGAGCATTTTCTGATGGGCAACCAACACCCCTGCTGCCACACACGATCTGCCCTGGAATGTACATCATCCCGGGAGAGTTCCGACAACAGTTCACAAACATGCAACGTCTCTGAATTCCATCATGGCAGCTCCAGGCTTCATCCCTGGACCCTTTGTCTGGACACTGGGGGCGCGTCACACAAGCCCTGCACTGCCTGCTCTGTGTCTCCGCCCTGTTGGCCTCTGCGGCCTGTGCGGGAGGAGCAGGCGTCGCTCTGTGAAGGCAGAGGCTGAGGCTGATTGAGGATAAACACCAATCTCTTCCTGAGAGGGGTGTGAGGATGGTTAGGGTATTCTTCTGTCACATGCTTGAGCTCCAGCAGGGCCTCCTGCTCAGAAGCTGGTCTCTTAGAACAGAAAGGAAGGAGAAAGTCTCCACCCCTTGAGAAAGTCTCAAGGTTAAATGTGCAAATATGAGATCTGGGGATCTATGCTCAGCCAGAGCAACGGGCAAAGGGGGTGTGGGGAGAAGCAGGGGGCTGGGTGCAGGGCGCTGGGCTTCCCTCCTAATTCAGACTTCAGGGAAGGGAGACGGCAGTGGAGGTGGAGATCCGAGGAGGCCTCATGTCTGTGTCAGTGGCACCCAGCACCACCCTTTGGAGGCCTTTGTGGGCCAAGAGGGATGGAGAGGCCACAGGGGCCGTGAGTGGTTGCTTAGGACCCTGGGCTTGGTGGATAATCTTTCTCAGCCCCATCTCGCTGAAGGCCAGTCCCCCCGAGAGGCAGCAGCAGGGCAGGCAGACCAGGTCCTGCCGACCACACCCACCAGACTGAGATGTGTGAGGCACGGTGTGTCTTCCAACAGCTTTCATGCTGAGCCAGACCTACACCCAGCACCTTGAAGCTGTGAGTCATGAAGA